TCCCATCCCGGGAATTCCCAGCTCCCATCCTGGGAATTCCCAGTCCCAGCTCCCATCCCGGGAATTCCCAGTCCCAGCTCCCATCCCGGGAATTCCCAGTCCCCATCCCGGGAATTCCCAGTCCCCATCCCGGGAATTCCCAGTCCCAATCCCAATCCCGGGAATTCCCAGGCCCCGCCGTGCCCGCAGATTCCCGGGCTGCGCTTCCTGCGCTGTCCCGCGGCCATGACCGTGCTGCACCTGGCGAAATTCCTGCGCAACAAGATGGATGTGCCCAGCAAGTACCGGGTGAGGGAGCGCCGGGAATGCCAGGGAATGCCCGGGAATGCCCGGGAATGCCGGGGAATGTCAGGGAATGCCTGGGAATGCCCGGGAATGCCCGGGAATGTCAGGGAATGCCAGGGAATGCCAGGGAATGCCCGGGAATGCCAGGGAATGCCCGGGAATGCCAGGGAATGTCGGGGAATGCCAGGGAATGTCAGGGAATGCCCGGGAATGCCAGGGAATGCCTGGGAATGCCAGGGAATGCCAGGGAATGCCAGGGAATGCCCGGGAATGTCAGGGAATGCCAGGGAATGCCTGGGAATGCCTGGGAATTTGAGGGAATGTTCAGGAATGCTCGGGAATGGTTGGGAACACTCGGGAATGCTCAGTAATTCTCGGGAATGTTCGGGAGTGCCCGGGAATGCTCAGGAATGCTTGGGAATGTTCCCAAATGTGAGAGAATGGCCGGGAATGTTTGGGAATGCTTGGGAATGGTCGGGAACGCTCAGGAATGCTCGGGAATATTTGGGAAGGCTTGGGAATGCTCCAGAGTGCCCGGGAATGCTCGGGAATGTTTGGGAATGCTCGGGAATGCTCGAGGGGCACTGTCCAGGTTTTGCCGTGCCCTGCCCAGCTCGGAGGCGCCGTTTTGGCCATTCCTGCTGATCCCTGCCTGTCCCAAATATCCCTGCCCTGATATCCCAAATATCCCTGCCCTGATATCCCGAATATCCCTGCCCTGATATCCCAAATATCCCTGCCCTGATATCCCAAATATCCCTGCCTGTCCCAAATATCCCTGCTCTGATATCCTTACCATCCCTGCCGATCC